GTTTCATACAAACGTGTATGTTGAACTTGTGATTTCACTAATTTTTTTGCTAAACATGACAGTGCCAGATCATTGTCACGTCAACAAAATCTGATGACGAATGTAATATTAAGAACAAAAATGCCTCAGGGACCCCAAATAAGGGAAACAGGGGGCAGGTGAGGTGTCCCCCTCTAAATGCATGAACAGTGCATCATGCATTCCGAGGGGGACACCTCACATGTCCCCCCTTGGGTTCCCTATTTGGGGTCCATATAGCAGCACCCTATTAAGAATCACCACAGTTAACTTTTATCAAATATTAAAAACGCTAAGGTACCGTTTGGCAAAGGGTTAAGTGAGGGGTTAAGGAGACTTAACCCCTTCTTAACCCGCCGAACATAAAAAATCTATACAATGGTTAAAGTGAGTTAACCCTCCATAATTTGCCAAACATAAAAAATATAGAAGGGTTAAGCTAACCCCTTTAGATGGATTATAATGAGTTAACCCCTCAAAATGAGGAGTTTACTAATATCCTATTTAGAAGGATTAAGAGTTAACCCTTCTAATTATAAAGAAAATAGTCAAAATCATTGTTATTCCCAAACACTAAAACTGATCACAATGACTAAAATAAAACTTATGGCCAGCTCATCAGTCGACTGAACAGTATCATCAGTCGACTGACGGCTACTGTAACGGCTAGTTTTGGTTGATTTCCAAATTTTCAGGGATTTGGTTATTTTTAGGAATTGTTTATTTTTTCTTGGCTTTTGGGGCTTTGTTTTGTGAACTTATAAATACCCCCTCAGCCTCAACACTTGATAACTATCTAAGAAAAGTTTTAATCAAAATTTACAAGTGTTTAAGTGCGTTTTAAGTGTGTTTTACAAGTAGGTTTATGTGAAGAGAGTTTCACAAGAGGAGGAGATCATTTCCATTCTTTTTGGGCTTCAATCTCAATCTCTCTCACTCTTGTTCTTCAGAAGCTAAACTCAATATATATATATATATATATTTGTTGATTATCAATTTCATTAAGTTAGATTTTAAATTAAGTTTACATTTCATTTTACTCATTGAATACACACATAACTTTTGAGCTTTTAGTATTTCACATTGAGTACAATTTGGGTTGTTGTGAGTGATTCCTTGAGTGTGAGCTTAACTTAGTTCTCATCTTGTTAGAGAACAAACACTTTGTACTTATGCTTAATTGTGAGATCACGTTGTAATACACAAGGGTATTTAGAGGAGTAGTTGGTGAGAGACGGGGTCAATTCTAAGAGAATTGGCGTCAGTAGTAAATCCTAGGGAGATGTTGTAATTCCGAGCACTTGAGGTCCAACACTTAGAGAAGTGTGACGTGTGATTGCAATTGTGAGAGTTGTAAAAGTTTACGGTGAACTTGGAAAACCGATTGTGTAATTGATTTATTTGAGATAGTGGAGATTCTCCTCGAGGGTGAGTAGCGGAGACGTAGGTTGTGGGTCGACCGAACTCCGTAATCAATTTCGTTGTGTTTGCGTTTGTTGCTCTTATTGTTCATATCTTATACTTTTTGTTTATATTGCCTATTATCTCGTTGCATATCCTTGCTTGTATATCTTGTTGTATATCACAATTACTAGGATATTATTAATAAGTTTAATTTGATATTAATATCGGATTAGATTAGCAAATACTCTATTCACCCTAGGGAGGGTGCTTTCAAAAACTTGATCATTCCAAATCTTATGTAAAAGGGGCACTTACAGTAAGGTTACATGGAGCTGTGTATGCTGTTTTTATGATATATTTTTTCATTAGAGATGAGTTGTTTTATGTTACATTATTTCAAATGGGGTATATCATATATTCACTTTGACTAATAATATGGTTTTAATGAAAGGAAATGTAGTACATCGTAATTTAATGGATTATTTTAAAAATATCATCTTAATAACATACTTTAAATAATGTTAATAAAAAAGAGCATATTTCATATTTTATCGTCAAATTATTATAATTAATTAATTTTAAACCAAGTATGTAGATATAATTTGTTTTAGAAAGAATCTTATCATTTTATATTTATATCTCTTACAAAATAAATTGTGATAGATATTTAATTAGTAGCTCTAATGGTGTACTCATTTTATAGTTTAGAATGTTCTACAAAAAGAAATGAGACGCTCTCACTTTTCTATTAGAGAGTAAAATTTCCTTCAAACTTTTTGGTACCCTCCACGGTCCCAGTAAGTTCTTAATATAATATTATAGATAATATATAAATTGTACCTCAGTTGGGTTTTAATTTTGTTACAACTAAGTTTTATTGTTCCTTAATGGGTGGTCTAATGGTCAGTTTGGTATTGTTGGAGCTTATAACAAAGTTGCTAATAAAAGCAGCTTATAAAAACTTATATTAGCTGCTAAAAATAGCTATTTGGTAGTTTAATATTAAAAATTTATACTTAAAAAGTAGTTGACTTGTTTGGTAGAACTTTGCTTATTGTTCATTGTTAAAAGATAAAAATGTATATATACTATATAAATTAAAAAAATAGAAGCTGATTTTAAAAGCTTTATCAGATTGCCTCTAAAAACACCCCATTTAAAACAGAAACAATTTTAATAAGTATGTTAAATTTTTTTCATCAAATACAATTATTGATTGCTTCTTGAAAAAATAAGCAGAATCAACCATAAAAAAAAAAGCAATACCTAAGGCCCTTAATTTTCACAAAATGGATGTGTTCAGTTGTAACGGGTCGGGTATGATCTGTATCTAGATCCGTCTTACCAACAATAATCCGCTCGCAGTTAGCATGCGGATCCAAACCCGCAACCGCTCTCCCATAGCCGTCAGATTCAATCAACGGCTCAGATACGCTAAACTTTTTTCCTGGCAATATCCAAATATTCTGGAGAAAACCTCCGGCACCTAAATAGCGATCCCCCACTTGAAAACCCAATCAAAGCAAAGTGAGCCCCACAATTAGGTATCAATCGGAGTCAAAAGTTCCCAAATAAACGGACCGTGAGAGCGTGGAGACGAATAGATCCCTTCTTGCTTGCTCGCCAGTCATTAACCCTCTCCATCTCTCCCTTTCTCGACCGAAGTCCACCGCGGAGCTCAAAGGTATAAAATTTCAATTTTGCGTTATTTTTATTGATTTTTAGAAGAAAATTGATGGGTTTTGGTTAGATTTGATGGAAAGGGTTACTGGGTTTTTTTTTTCTAGGTTAGTGTGTGATGCTGATATATGGTGAAATTTTTTTTTGAATAAATTTGATGGTAGTTTTAGTTTCTGTGTATTTTAGAGATAGTTGAAAGAAGAAATTTATGAGGCAGTTCAGGGATTAAAGAGTTCACATTGTTTCGGTTGGTTTAGTTGATTTGTGGTGAGTTTTGATTAGTTTTAGGAGAATATTTGTAGGTGTTTGTTGAGAGTTCAGGCTCAAATTTTTAATTATCATGTTTTTGGGTGATGATGCTGGAGTTAATTTCTGGTAACTAAATATGGGCTTTCGTGGAATTAGGATTCCTGCAACTTAATCGATTCATTGTGCAGAAGAGTTCTTTGTGGAGTTTATAATATATTTACAATGGGATAAAGGAGCTCAAATTTACAATAATATATTTACTAGAAAATTTAGGATGGAAAATACACCCATCATGAGCTGTTGTAGATGGGTTGATATTAGAATTCCAGATTAATTCACTTTGTTGCATTTCCCCCACTATTGCATTATAAATCGTCTAAACACGTGCAGAATTTAAAAATGACAAATTTTCTTCCAAAAATCTCCTAGATACTTTGTTACATTAGCTCTCTCGTTTGAATTGAGTCATTGCCTCCATTGAGGCTTACCGCATGCCTAATTGCCGAAGGGAATGGATTGGTGAGATTCCTCATTGCACGCTGTTAGTTGCCAATGCCACCCATGTTTTGAGTTTTTTTAGTGTGATTGTCGGCAATGTGTTAGAGACAACCACTTAGGCTCTTATTTTAAGAGGGTAGTCCATTTGCAGCCTTGACTTTATTGAAAAGTGTGTATCTCTCAGATCCATGAACTCAGGTCCTGGTGAAGCAATCTTCTTGTTGCCCCAAGGTTTTCTCGCTTTAGGTTTTCACTTTGAGCATATGAAATTCCTATCCACAAATTGCGTCTTTCCCATGGAAGGCATGTTTGACTTGCGGGATAGTGCGCGTATGTTAAAATAGATTCCCTCTGGTGGTAACTTCAACAATTTGGTAATTGGTATAGGGGTAAGACATAAGAGTTTAATGTTATGCAACTCAGTTGTATGCAACCCCGTTAAGGAGATCATAGTTGGGCCACAGCTAGGAGTACAGCCAGGTTAATCTTTATTAAGGAAATAAAAAGGCACATGGTGGTTGTTGATAATCAATCATGGCTCTATGTTGCTGACTAATGGCAGGTCAACACCATTATTGTTGTTGTTGTCGTCCTTGAAACATCAATAAACTTAACCCACCCATTCCACTGAAGGTTATGTGGTTGATTGCTCACAGCCGATTATTGTGCATTTCCCTTTTTAATGATATTATGGACATTTGTAACTAATGGAACAAGAGAATATTACAGAATAAACTCAGAGATGCAAACACTGCATCTTATGATTGCAGGATCATCTTCCTTCTGGTGACTTTCGCCTTATAATGTCGTTATTGTTTGCAGCTTGATTTTTACACCGTGATCTTGCTGCATCATACTTAGTAGTGACTACTACCTGTTTTCCTCAATGGTTAAGCTGGCACCTTATATAAGTATTGCTACAATTTGTCGCTATTCTATAATATTATTGATTCCTCAAATAAAATTCCTTTTCCTTTTTTCACCGCATAACTTCTTTGATTTGCTCTCTGTTTGAAAGTTTTCTGATTGTCTGAGTTTAACCTTTTAATATCTGTTTAATACAGTCATAACTACTTATAACGCTGTTGTAGTTCTGCACTCTGATGCTTATTCTATTTCAGGGAGGCAAAAGCTGCTTGCTTACTGACTGAAAGTATGGTATTCACCGCTTCCTCTTCTCATCTGGTCATGTTGAATGGGTTGTCCTATTGAAGGAATTCTCTATTAGCTTGTATGGGGTAGGTGCTAATCATGCATTAAGGAAAAAGTGCACAATAGTCTGTGCTTCATTTTTTGTTTCTTCCTCTTAAATAATCCTTTTTATCTTTATTTTTTAGAGAGTTAAGTTTTATTGAACAATCAGGTTAATAATGATTTAATGTATTTAGCAGTCTTCAGTTGGTTGTATGAGGTCTCTCATTATTGTCAATCTTTGTACAGAGCAGTTGTTGTGTTGGCGGTTTGTCAAAATCCCATTTAATATCGGATAGACAATCAAAGCGGGATATTCGTCAACCTTCAAGGCGTAGAAGAAGGGAATGGTCAACTGGTCCAAAGGTCATGGAAAACAATGTTAGTATGTCTCATTCCCTTGATGCACACTTGTCTTCATGCCCACCTACTCTCAGTGAAGAAAACAAGTCTACAGAAGAAAATGTGACTACTGTTTCATTCATCAATCATGGTATGTCTTTCTTAATATTCACTTGTTTCGAGATTAGTACCACACTATAATCAAACATTAGATGACAACTGCTGTCTCTAAATCAATAAAATAGTAACGGACTAAACTACATGCGCGCATACACCAGCCCACCGACACCCATGCGCACACGCACGCGCATATGCACACGTGAGCGAGTGTGTGCGTTTGTATTTGTATGCTGTCATAGCTTTGCAAGTAGGCATATGCATCTTTTCTTCTGTTATTACATCTTACCTTCTACATTTTCTTATTTTTTGCCTCACAAAATGTTTCCATCAGCCTCCTGGCACTGCTTGTTTTCTTTATTAGAGGTCTGAGCGAATATAAGTATGGACTGGTATTATCAGTTGTCTTTTGTTATTTCCATGGTTCCACCTAAGCAATAACATGTTGAAGGGCTGAAAAGGGTTTTGCTGTGTTATCTTTCATATCATGAAAATTTTGCACTTTTATTTGGTTAGCATTATCTAGATACATACATGTAGCTTCTATGGTTGCCGTTGCCCACATACATGCAAATTGCAGTACAGTTGAAGAACTTAATGCAAAAAATATAAATATTTTCGTTACAAAGCTAATTTATACATTGTCCTTAAAAAAAATTCTGTTATCATGGATTTTTCTCACTGGACTTCGTAACTTATATTCTACCTTTGTTCATTCATCTGCTTAAGAAATTCCTGATCATTTTCTTCTTTTCTTCTTGCTTCATCTATGTCCTTGAATAGCTTGAGACTTATATGTTTCCATTACTCTCTAGCGGCTATAGCTTGGCATGAGAGAAGAAGAGAATGGATTGGTGATCAGTCAAAAAGAAATCATCGGCCAACAAGAGAACCAATAATAAGGTCAGATTTACTAGATTACTTGTTTTTTCCTTTGAAACTTCTATAGATACACTGCATATATTATCTGTGCCTAATAATTGGTTGCCTGGTGTCATTGTGTGAATTCCTAACTTTATCCTTTTGCAGTTTTCCAATGCATGCTAACATTAAGCTACAAACAATGGAAAACTAAGTATTTACCGTAGAGGCCCTTCCTTACCATGCAATAACTCAAACTAGTATTGATTGCAAAAGTATGTTTCCTCAATCATTTGATTGTGGAATTATTAAGTCAAGTTCCCATATGTTTGACCTTCTTAATAATTTGGTTGCTAGTAGTAAACAATGCTCATTACAACACCTCCCATTTTTGTTTCCTGGGGGTTTGGAAATCAAATGACTGTATATCTTAAAGTATCTAAGATCACTGCTACCTCTTTTGTTTTCTTATTTAGGGATCCAAGACTATAATACTCCTACTCTTTTTGTTGCTTGGGGACCTTAACACTGAGGTTTAGTTTGGGTATGGAAATAGATAACAAATGAAAGAAAAATCCCTAGACTCATATTGCCTGCCAATAATTGGTTAAATAGTGTTAGTCTTAATGGTCTAACCACTGTTTTAAAAAGCCTCTGCTTAGGCCGCCTAGGCGTACGCCTAGGCCTAGGCATTACCCAGGCCACCTAACTAGCGTCTAGGTGGTACCTAGGCTACCCACTTAGATTTTGGGAGTATTTAAGAGAGCATTGTCTGCTTATGTAGACTGCACCCTTTAGGCCTTGATTATGTTTTCTGTGTTGCAGCCTCCACGTCCTCCAACCTCATTCAAACTCCTTTAATCTCTAAATATGAACACATCCACCACCTCCTCTGACCTTCAGCAAAATCTTCTTGACCACTACTTAAACGAAGGAAGAAACCTGCCTGGACACTAGTCCGACACATAAGCTTTCTATAACATTGACATTTACTATTAAGTATTATGATTAAAAAAACCTCATAGACTCTTAGCGTCGGGTCCAACGCCTAGACCTCCTAGCGCTTTCTATCCTTGTTAGTTATTATTTTGGCTATTTAGTATTTAAATATACATGATTTATTGTGGATCTAAGATTGCTACATTTTTTAGCAAATTTATATGAATTTAATACATATTTTTATCAATTATTATAATTAAATAATTTAGAAAATAACCAAATGCCTAGTCACCGCCTATGAGTACGCCTACACGTCTAGGCGCTAGCTCAAACGCGTAGTCCGCCTAGCGCCTTCTGTAACATTGGGTCTAACAATTGTTTTCCTTGAGGGTGTTGAGAACAACAAGATTCATTCAATATTGCTGTATTGCGGATCTTAATGTTTTAGAATTGGACTAAGAATTGGTTCAAAAATCAGATTGCATGAGATGTAGCTCATGGAGGCTTAACAAAGTGATCGTGTTGGATTTAATTGCCGTTGATGTTATAATGTACTTATGCATTATGTCTTTTCTAGGGAAGGACATGATGCACACTTATGTTCGATTAAATTATTGCTTTGAGACACCAGATGATGGTCAATTGTGGAATCTATCTGTCTGTTAGACGATGATAGATGGAAAGACACGTGGACAAGAGAAAGGATTAGCATATAGTTTTCTTTTATTTGCACAGAAAAAGCTTATGATAGAGTGCAATGGAGATAATATGGTGGGTTTTACAAAAGAAACAAGTATCTATCTCCATAGCTACTAATTAAAATAAAAAAGACCCACATGTTAAATCCTATTCATCCAAACAAGTTGTTGTTTTCTTAATTAAAGTAAGAGGACCTGTTACCTTTTTTCATACTAGGGTGTTTGAGGTACATGACGAAGGAAATGAGAGAGCTTGGGATGATACTTAAGACTGTTGGAAAGGAGGAAATATATTTAGACATTTCAGAATTCAGATCTAAGACTGTCAAAAGCTATCACCTGTAGATCCTCCCCTCATGATTCTATAGAATTATCACAATATGCATGAAGTACTAAGTTAGGTTGTTTCTCAATAATTGATCATGTGGCTAGTAGTTTCACGACGCAGACATGAGAGAAAACATCATAGGTGACATTGCATATTGAGCTGAATATCTAAGACTAGGAGGGTGTTAGAGAGGGCTTATTTTTTTGAAGCTTATGAGCTATGCTAGCTTTTGTTTTTTATGATAAACACTTTAAAAATTTTGTATGGGTAGAAAAGTCTTTTAGTTGGTCAAACCTACCTTATTTAGATGAGCTTATAAGCTAGTTTTCAAAAGTTGGGGAATCCCAACTTTTTAAACGTGGCTTAAAAGCTAGCTTATTTGAGATTTCACCAAACATGTAGATATGGATAAACTAGCTTAAAAGCTACCTTGACACACACACACACACACACACACAAAGGCTCCCTAAAACACCCTCTAAGTATGAAGAGCGGCATGGGTTAATGAAGTACGGAGGGTGAGGTGGAAGGTCGAGAAAGAAAAGAAGAATTGAGGAGAAGAGAAGAATGAGTTGGAGACGTCTCGACACAAGTTGCTAGGTGAAAAACTGATACAAATATTAGGTCTACAGAAACTAGGAGAAGGAAACATGTCAATCTGCTTTAAACTAATCGCTTGCTCAATCAGCTTAGGTCTATAACAAAAATCTTCAACTAACCTTTGTAATAAATTTGATTGTTTTAATTATTATGTTTTTTATTTAATTTCCATGCACAGTCTTCTGATTGTCTCACATCATGGAAACTACCGCTCACAGTTGCAAGCTAGCCGACATCATAACAATCCTGGGTCAACACGACTGATGTCGATAGGCTGGTAAGGTGGCATGCTGAGGATTATGTGTTGTGTAACATTACATCTTTTATAGGGACAACAGGCCTATTTTAGACTACACCTGAGTCATGAACACATTATTATGGAATACAGGACATTGGGCTTGTAGTTATTACTAACCAATTTAACGTTATAAGTCAAGAGAAACAAGTGGGGTATTTCTTTGCAAAATTGTGCTCAATTTCATATGTGGCAATTCCTCCCAGATCTCTTCGTTAGTTGGGGGAAGAATCAGCACGAATCGGATTTTTTGAGGAACGTATCGAGAGAGAATTGGATTTGGTTAGACAATGTGTGGTTGGTAAACAAGGATCAGTTTTTTAGCAGGGTACGGAATGTATTGTCAAATATTCAGCCAGATTTAAAACGCTTGCACATATGCTTGCTTTCAGACGTTATAGATGAAAACATTAGATTTCAAACGTTGCTATTAGGTCCCTTAAATCTTTAGTGTTTTGAAATTAGTCCCTCAAATCATTGAAATTGCTATTAGGTCCTGTAAGTGGTCTCAACTTAGTCCCTCAAATCATTGATATTGCTATTAGGTCCCCAATTCTTATTAGTTTTTGTTTCAATTTGATCCCTGCAATCAGGAATAGCAATAGCAGATATAAATAAGGATTGGGGGACTTAGTATCAATTTTCATGATCGAAGGGATTAACTTCAAAATATTAAAGATTTAAAGGACTAGTATCAGAGAAACTTTTGAAAAAGCAGAAGAAATAAGAATTTTGGGTGTCAAATTGCTAAAACTATGTTGGCAACTTGACATTTAATTTTGTATTATATATGTTTACATGTATGCCTTCAACCATGTGTGATTATTTCAATTGCATTCCCTCTGAGGAGAGAAAAAAAATCTTTAGCAATTGGATAAATTTGATTAATATTTGAAAGAAGCTATTTAAACTCTTTAATCTGTAACTTTCTCCAGCTGGTCCACAACTTATGAAGACTTGCTCACAAACAATCATCCTTTCTCACAACCAATTCCATTATCTGTAAGTCCTTACAAACACTTCTAATTTTTTTTGGTTAATTGTGAGTAGGCCCCCTGTATTATCGTTGTTTCGAACTTACTACCCCTTAAGTTTTATTTTTGCAGATATACCTCCTGAGTGAAATTTTTTGTTTACGCTTTTTACCCTCGAAGGACAAGAATCCTTTTGACATGAGGGTAAAAAAAAGAGAAGAAAAAACATTCACTCAGAGGTCCCATCTGCAAAACTTAAATTAGATGGGTAGTAGTAAGTTCAAAACAATGATCATATAGGGTCTATCCACAATTAACCTTTTTTTTTTGCATTGCTCCTCTTAAATTTCAGTTAGTTATTTTGTGAATTTCAATCATCTACACCGTTCGCCAACTTTGATGAAACTGCAGGAGATGATCGATTTCTTAGTAGATATATGGCAAGAAGAAGGGCTTTATGATTAGGCACAGAGAGATGCATCTAGTTGTGGGATACCTTGTGAGATGAGAACTCCATTTTTTGCTTTTCATTGGTCATTATTTTTAATTTAGTATTCAAATATAGCTAATTTGTTTCTGCAACACTGGAAAGGGTGGGGGATAAAAAAAAGTATGATTGCTTGTTTATCAAGGGCGACAATGTGAAGACAGCATTAGTTTTTCTCACGGTTATCATACTTGTCGGTTTAAAATTATATTTGACTGTGTTTTTTTTTACTTCCCACCTGCAAATTTGCATCAATATTTTTCTTTTTTTGACGCAAAAAAACAAGCTACATGTAGTTTGGAAAACATAAAGAAGGAGAGCCTATGAATCAGAAGTTGTCTCCGACCATAGCGAGCGTCATCGCCCTGTATCAAGGTTAGAAAATCTTGATGTTTGGCCGCTTCATGAAGATTGGTGGCCTTCTTCTTTGCAGAATTTCCTGTCCATAACTAACATAATGAAGCGCGCGACATTAGCTGATAACTGTTGAGCTGGAATAAAAATCTCTCTAAAAATAATAAGATTGTTGCTAGCGCTCCCTACACACCAGCAGAAAATTGGGAACAGGATGGACCGGAGCTGTTGGGCTATGATGTCTAAAATGAAGGACGCAAAAAGATGCTGTCAAAATCTGAAGATCATATTTTTTATGGGTCGAAACCTGGACTCACGTAGCGGTGTCAATTTTTAGAAAATCCGTATGTAATTCGTGGTCAGTGGGGTTTGAACCTGGGTTGTTTTGATACCATTTTAAATTTAGTTCATCTAAACATTACACCAAAACGGTGGCTCCAGAGTTATGGTGAGGATCAAAGATTATAGTTTTATATTAATTCTAACGGTTCAGAAGAGGACTCCATGCTAATTTGGCAAGATTGCGGTCCCAAAAAAGTTGCGCATCTGATTCAACAAAAGACTCGCAGAAAATGCAATTTGTACTTTTTATCCAACCTTTAATAGATAGGTTAGTTAGACTTGGTTTGAAACTTACGTTTACAAGGAATCCCTAAAAGACTTTGACCTTGGTAGGTAAAATGGGCTTCTAAATAAAGTTAGGGGGGGGGGTTAGTCACCTAGAACTTAAAATTAGAACTGGGATAATCAGTGAGATAAAATTTTAAGATGTTAGTCACATAGAACTAAATCTAGAACAAAATTTTAAGGTGTTAGTCACATAGAACTAAAACTAGAATAAAATTTTACAGTGTTAGTCAAGCAGAACTTTAACAAAACTAGAATTGGGATAATTGTACAAAATTATCCTATTTTTTTTATTTTTCTATACAAAAATGAGAGTTCTAGTCTCTCAAATTATTTCAAGTTTTAGCTTGGAACTATGTGGTAAAAAACTAGAACTCGTATTTATTTTATTATTTTTTATTTACTTATTTCCTATTATGCTTATCACCATCATTAGACCATCATCATAATAATAATTGTCAATATCTTATAGTCTAACCAAAAGTTATTTAATAGTAACGAACATTCTTGTAAGCAATTATCAATTAATAGTTGTAAGTTTAAAATACATAAATAGTATTTATATCTTCAAAATGCATAAATATATACTTCATAATTATAAAAAATTATCCCACGTTATTTTATTAAAATATCCCGCTTCATAAAATTGTTCCTAGTTATCCCACTAAAATATCCCACTAGCGAAATATTATTCCACTTTAATAATTATCTCATTTTGTATGAAAATGTCCCAATTGACTAACACCCCCTAAAAGACTTTGACCTTGGTAGGTAAAATGGGCTTCTAAATAAAGTTGTATGCAGCACAAGATAAGCCCTCACTGGTGATGATTTCACACAAGGATTTCACTGAAAAGCTGCCTGATGGGCCCAAAGGCCGAAGAAACTTCATCTTTGGGAGTGCACGGAGAAGCACAAGACTTTATTGTTGTTGAGATTGCGTGTCTCTACGCAAACGAGGCTGCCGATGCCATCGGTTGCCATTCAAGAGTCCTTGAGATCTAACATTATTAAGCTTTCCTTTGAGGTGAAGCTTGGATAAATCACCAGAAGCAACACTTGCTTTTAGCATTTTATTGAGGATGTTAGCTGCTTGGATAAAAAGCTTGGAGAGAAGGGGTCTCCCTGCTTAATATCCCTAAAGCAAGAAAAAAGTTTTAGAGGATACATCGTTGACAAGAATAGAGAACTTAGGGGAAGACAGGTCGAACTCAACCCAATGACGACACCATTTAGAACCAAAGCCTCTAGCATGAAGGAGGTCTAAGATAATTCAAACTGATACAATCAAAAGCTTTCATAAAGTCTATTTTAATCATATAGATTTCTTTTCTCTTAGGTCCACATATGTTGGAATCTCATGAGCTATAAGGATAGAGTCAAGGGTGGTTTTAACACTGTGAAAGGCTGATTGAGAGGAATCCATTAAGGAAAAAAGGAAGGGTGCAATCCTATTAGCCAAAAACTTAGTGAAAATCATAAAAAAAGACCCATTAAAAAGGCTAGTTAGCCTGAAATCTTTGACTTTCAGGCTCCCTCCACATTAGGGATGAGCGTTACAGGGGAGTTATCGATGAAGTGGAGAAAGGAGACATTATGGAAGGAAAAAAAAAATATCATTCTTGATAGTGTCCAAAAATGTTTCGTAGAACATAGTAGGAAAACCATTAGGACCTAGAGATAACTTATGGTGGAGGCAAAAAACAACAGCCTTGATTGCATCTTTTGTAAAAGGGATATTCAAAAATTACAAGCCATCCAAGAAATGTGCATAGAGAGAAGCCCAATCTGAAAAGAAGGAGGGAGAGCTCTTGGCTAAAAAAAGATTAGAAAAATAGTCAAAGAAAGCCTCCTGTTTACCAACTTTAGAAGTGATAATAATATAGAAAGCCTCCTGTTTACCAACTTTAGAAGAGATAATAATATCATTAGCAAGAAGATGTGGAATGAAAATTTTCCTTCTACGATGGGAAGCAATCTTATGGGGGAAAAAAGTGTTGTTATCCCCTTCATTGAGTCATAGCCCTCTAGATCTTTGTCTCCAATAAACCTCTTCAGACTTAGCATTAATGATTAGATCATGTTTAAAACTGGGTCTAGATTCAAGCTCAGATTGTGAAAGAGGTCTGGATTTCTCCAAAACATCAAGGAACTCCAAGGAATGAAGGAATTTTCTTTTATTTTGAGAAACAAAACCATATACATGCTTAATCCATCAATTGATTCTTCTTTTTAGGAGTTCCAGCTTCAAGGAAAAAGATAGAACATGGTCTTTCTTATGAAAAAAAGAATTCTAGCAATCAGCAAAAAAGGATTTGAATGAGGGATAAACATACAAAGCTTTTTCAAATCTAAACATCGACCTAAGAAGATAACTCAATTGTCTAAAATGATGGGTGAATGATCACAGCAGCTGTGGGAAAAACATATTGAAGAAGACAAGGAAAGTGCGATTCAAAATCTAAGGGGATGAGGGAATCTGTCTAGTCTGGCAAGAGAACAATTTTCTCTCATATCGGAACAGATAAATTGATGACCACTAAGAGGAACGTCCATAAGGAAAACAGAGGCGACTAACTCATCGAAGGACACAAGTAAAAAATATGGTATCCTAGACGGAAAATTCCGTCTAGGATACTCAAAATTCCGTCTAGAATGTGTATTCTAGATGGAATTCCGTCTAGAATACCCGTCTAGGAAGTTTCCGTCTAGGATGTAGTATTCTAGACGGAAATTTCGTCTAGAATACATACTAGACGGAATATTCTAGACGGATTTCAAAACTGTCTAGAATACATCCTAGACGGAATATTCTAGACGGAATTTACGTCTAGAATAATACATCCTAGACGGAAAAAATTTCCGTCTAGGATGAGTATTCTAGACGGAAATTTCCGTCTAGGATACTCATCATAGACGAAAATTGATGTTTTTAATTTTTTTTAATTTTTTTAAAGCATTCTAGACGGAATTTGAGCATTCTAGACGGAATTTCCGTCTAGAATGCTTTGCTACAGTAGTTTTTTTTTTCTTTTTTTTGCAGAACCTACTTTTGGTGCATGTACACAACATTGAACAATACTAGATTGAATTCATATCCAACACAATCTAATTATATTCTAATATCAAATCCAATTATATTCAAATAATACATTCACCAAAATACTAGAGATACATAAATTATTTACAAATTTAGATTGCTCAACAGTTCATAAAAACAATACCAATTTGAACCCCAAAGCTCATAAAAATCTTCAAACTAAGTAGTCGAACAATGATTCTTCCAATCATTAATTTCCTACGTAACACATTCACTAATTAACGTGCATTATGAATTGGCCAAATGATGAGAGGACCCCAAAGCATTCACCCACCAGTTCAATATCCATATATGCAGTGTTTGCACCTTTAGTCACCAGTGGATCCTGCAAAAGAGATCATTCACATTAGCAAACTCGACAGACATGCATGGCAAAAGAGATCAATATACTTTGTTTTTTCCAAATACAAAATATTGCTTCTCTACCAATTCATCGGTGGCATCACAAATTAAAGAGTAATTGCATTTGCATAATGCATTTGTTTTGGTGTGTTTTTTCTTTTGTGTGATTGTTCATAGCAGTAAGATATAGCACAATAAACAACAGTATAAAAAGGCCTGATTCTATTTTAATATGGACCGAAATGGAGGAAGTGACGAAATGGAGGAAGTGACTAAGTTAAAAGAGATAAGAGAGTGGAAAGCTTTATAACTGTCCATTATATATACGATGGATGGCCAACATCATTAACATTATACTAATGACTTAAAATGTCTCTGGAGGAGAGCTTGCATGTTTTTTTATTATCCTATAACTCAATAATCAAGTCTCATTTAGCAAAAACCTTTCCTTGACAAGTGAAAGGTCATTAACTTTAGTACTTTCCTCATTGACATTCTAGAACATGGCAGAGAATCATGTTAAGACATAGTTAACTGAGTACATGCACAAGTAGTACAATGACACATGATATGTAGGAAATTGCCCGCCCGTTTAGGGAATACCACCGTAATGCCAAAAGGATGTGATTTCTAGACCTATTTAGACAGTAAAAATATACAAATGGTGGAATGGACTCTTCACTTGTGGCATTTATTCAGGAGTCCAGCTTAGGTATTCATTTGAATAAAGAGCAAAGCAAGTAAAGGGTATTCATCATTGTGTAAAGTCTTTTATGCCCCAAACAATACTTTGTTAATAAAGATGCGAAACCAAGAAGTATTCTACTATGGCGCCTTGACAGTCGCAGCACATTCCTATTATATATGTCTAACCTATTATATATGCATTCTAACCTATTATATATGCATTCTAACCTAAGTCTCTGATTTAAATAACACTTTGAATGGTAATATACTGTCATAAAAAACTGAAGCACACTTCATAGTCCAATATATGTCAGGAACAGTCAGAAAGAAGATGAATAGAGCAAGGATTTAAACACATTAAAGTGAATTACTTAACATGATGGATATAATAAGTAAAAATCCCAGAGAAAAAAACCTGTGTCCAACTAGTATAATTGCAGGTGGAGAGTCTCCGTACATTGCCTTCAGAACAGCCAAAACATCATTGCATAGAGTCTGCAAGTTACTAAAATTAGTTATATTTTCCTTTAATAAAAAAACTATTTGCGTTGACAATGTGATACAGAAATAGCTTAAATTAAACATGAATAGTTAAAGAAAAATTAGATGAAAGGAAGCTCATACATCAATAGGTAAGTCCACATCATTATCGGTGGATGACTTTCCATGACCTCTCAGATCCATAGCTACAACCCGAGCCTTTTCTTTGATTTTTCTTGCAGTTAATGCAAAGGAAAGCCTGGCAAGATAATGAATATCTTTAGAACTAATAAACATCGTAACGTAAGCATAATCTTCTGTTCATTTCCAATTAAACATAAATATTGATATCTTAGAAGAGTGCATTTTCGACATTAAGACAATATTCTTTCAATTCAATATCATCTAAAGCTTTTAATTTTTTCAAATCAAACAAAAGACCAAAATTTCGAGATTAAGATGATATATGTATCTTTACAAATTATCTAGTTGCAACGTTTAAATGGAGCAATTATTCCTGCGTAGAAACCATCTAGTGTAAGGCTTAGAACTGCCCACTAACCAATACCCCGTCTTTAATATTTTATAGAGAAATTTCCTTCTTAATCCTAACAATTAATCTTAACTACAAATCAGAGATGTTGAACAGAATAGTTAATAACACATATAGCATTTCATATTAAAACCCCAAACACACTCGATCACAATCAATTTTGTCAATTATTACCCACATTCTGCTTAAATTAAATATCAGAACACCCAAAACACCAAATATAGTTAAACGAACATCAAATTCTTATGCAATGGAGAATGTGCAAGTGTAAATAGCATGTTGACCTATAAATTGATACTCAGATCACCTGCCGGTCAAATGTCGACGGAAGATTTTGCCAGGTATTAGCCACCCAGAGATCCCATGACTAATAACTAGATTTGATTGTTAAAAATCACTTCTATGCCCACAAATACCTGTAAAATTGATGATAACAGTAACTCATTTCGAGGTTCACGGTCAACAAAGTGCTTTTCACGAATATGTTCGAAAGAACCATGAAATTGATTTGATTCTTAAAAAGAAGATGGATTAAAACATTGACCTTTGGACCAAAATCAGCGGAGGCGGCTCACGGCTGGCGGTGGCCGGTGGGACCATGGGAGCGGAGGTGGCTCAGGCTGGTGGTGGTAGCGGAGGTCAGGAGGCGTGGCGATGGGAGGCTGGACCGGAGGTCTTGATGTTTGAGAGAGGAGAGGAGATCGGAGGGAGAGGGAGAGGAGGGGGACGCGGTGGAGGGAGGAGTAGGAGGGGGTTTCCAGAAATGAAAACAAATTTGGGGATGATTTATTCGTTTTAGGGGGGAAAGTAGGGCATTCGCGGGTTTAATTGGGTGAAATTTTTTAAAAAAATTGATCTATGTATTCTAGACGGAAATTTCCGTCTAGGATACTATTCTAGACGGAAATTTCCGTCTAGAATACCTGGTTATTTTTTAAAAAAAATAAAAAATAAAGTAACCGTCTAGAATACTATTCTAGACGGAATTTTCGGTCTAGAATATTTATTCTAGACGGAATATTCTAGACGGAAAATTTCCGTCTAGTTTAATACATTCTAGACGGAAAAAATTCCGTCTGGAATATTCCGTCTAGAATACGTGATTTTCTACTAGTGGGAGTTAATATCCCTCGTAGAACCAGTTCTCCCACTTCTTTCATTTAAAGTCATATTAAAGTCACCAAAGATGACCTAAGGCAATGGAAAGAGTTGGCTAATTCTTTTAATCTCCTACCGACACACATTTCTTTCTTCCGAATCATAAGGTGCAAAAAGTGCCACAAGCTTCCAATTACAAGGCTTATGAAGAAAAACATTAGAAACAGAGAAAATACAATTCTAGAAGCACATCACCTCTAGTTTCAATAGCATCTAAGCTAAGCCATTCATTCAACCTATTACCACCCATAGCATTAAGGGATCTAATTCTAGAGACATTGAGTTTGGACTCTTAAAATCGAACTTTGACTAATCTTCCTCTTGACAGGGTCATTAAGCCCTGTAATATTCAAGCATCATATCTTCATGGAAATTGATTAAAAACTTCGAAAAAGACCCAAGTATGAAACAATGTAAGGAGCCAAGTTCTCTGTATCTGCCTCTAGGGTCTTAACTTAGAGATAACCTCCTTAGATATTAGTTCTATAATTCCAAGATTTGCAGCAATTTTAACTAATGCCTCATGAAGAAAAGAATTAATTGGTCTAGTAGAAGTGAAGCAATTTTAATTCCATAAAATTACTCTATGTTTTTATTTGTTGAGATGATTATGTTTATAGTTTGAGAAATTCTAATGGGTTCAAAAGGGTGGAATTTTACTTATTTTTTCCATGCGACTATACTTTATTAATATATTAATGTATCTGAGTATCCTAGTAGTTTGTGTGTTCATATTGAATAAGGGGCTGCTTGGTTGTATGTTTTTACCATGTAAAAGGATGGAAAGTGTAAAAAAGTGGGTCCCAATGTCAGCTTTCATCACTTTCAATTGTTTGTTTGTAGTTGTGAAAATAGTGTAAAGTGATTTCATATGCTGATGTGGCTTGTAAAGTGATTTCATAAAAAAAAGACATGATTTTAGAAGAAAGCTGACATTAAAGTCAGGAAAAAATAATAAAAAATAATTCCAACCAATATGATCATTTGAGTAGGGATCACTTTTTACACTTCCCAAACAAACAATTAAAGTTACATTTACAAACCAAACAAGCAATTTATGATTCCAATGGAATAAAAAATAAACAAAGAAAAATATAAAAGTAAAATTGATGAGGTGGACAACAACTTTCCAAGTTGTGTCATAAATACACAACTTTACCAACAACAACCAAACAACCCCTAAGAGGCGTCATTTGTAGGCCAAATTTCATAAATACCCTGAAACTTTGGGGTGTCTTCCAACCCCACCTCGCCAATTCAAATTTTCACGACGGACCATCTTAATAGTGTTAATGGCGTTGTCAACCATTTTTTTTAAATAGGATAGGATTGGAGGGATGGATGTGAAGGTTATTGAACTCATCAATGTTTATTGAACTCATTAATGATAGCCAACTCATTATCCAATAGGAGGGGGACACCTCACTTGTCCCCTCTATTAGTCCCATATTTTGGGTCCCCGTAGCAAAGCTCTTTACTTTAACATAGTGCTTTTTTTTAAATAACAAATATAAAATGTCCTTTTTCAATATTAGTTCCAAATGTTCAAATTTTGAAATTAGCTCCTCAAATCATTAACCTGCTATTAGGTTCCTCCAATTCCCCAGTTTCATAAGTTGTATTGAGTTCGTCCGTATAGTCAGTAATTCCACTCGTGATTGGGAGAAAACTTATCAGAATTAGTGAACCTAATAGTAATTTCAACGATTTAAGAACTTTGGGAATTTAGGGACGTTTCAATGATACGACGGATTAATATCGATAAAATCCGTAAAAATTATCATAATTTATGCAAAGTGTAGATGATCCTACAACTAAACCCTATTCTGTAATTATCAAAAGTTGAGGCAGTTATTTGTAATTTTTTACGAAAAGAGAAACCACGTGCCATCCTTCCCAAGAATCAACCCCCTTCCACTTCAGATCAAAAACAAATCCCAAAAATTATTTAAATAATAATAATAATAATAATAATAATAATAATAATAAGAATCACCAAACTGAGAGCCGAAATCGTTCATCCCTTCCTCTGATCGAAGAAAGAGATGGAGACGGTGAAGAATCTGCTGAAACCGAAGCCAGACCCTCAGCAGCACGAGAATGGCAGCGGAAGCTCCGGCAAAGAGTGCCGCAACGTCGAGCGCAGGCAAGCGTCGAGTTTCCTCTCGTCGATCGATTGATCTAGGGTTCCATCTCGGATTTCTCTTTGAATTTTTTTGTCTGATTTTATTTATTTTATTTTATTTTATTTGGGTAGATGTTCAGAGAGAGGAGAAGAACGTTCAGAAAGCGATCAAGGATGCGGCTAAGCGCAACGATATGGCCTCAGCGAAGGTATAATCGATGTTTCTTTCTTCAGATTTTAAAAAAAAATATTTTAGTCTCAGTATTTCATCTTGGTGTGAAAAAAATCGTGATACTTCGCTACAAACACGAAGTCAATTAACCTAATATATAGCTTGTTGGTGTTTAGAAGTACACCGAAACTCTGAAGTTGTGTTGGGGATTGTGGGTTATAATTTCATATTCTAACATGACTCCGTAGGTTGAAGGCCCTTTTTGGGCGGAGTCCGGGACTCATGCCGCGATGTCAAATTTTTATTATTATAAATCCTCTTAGAAGTTTGTGGCCAACAAGATTCAGATGGGTAGTTCTGATACCATAATGATCTGGCCACTACACCAAAACTCTGAAGCTGTGGTGAGGGTTGACAGTTATAATTTTATATTCTAACAAGTTTTTTCTTCTTGGTGAAAACTTTGCCCAGGTAGCTAGGGCTTAGATTGTGTCATCACCTTCGATTTTACTTTTGGCATATGAGGTTTGGCGTTGCTCTTTGGTAACTATTGAGTAGTGGACTGTGAGAGCTTAATTCCTATTTACCATGCCAAATAGGAAGGGAACAAGGATTTGTAATGAAGGATTAATAGAAGTCTCTGGTCAGTCCCAAGATTGAGGGGTTTAGCAAATGTGCTTCTATACGAGTTAAGAGATAATCGTTCTGTTTGTGTTAGAGTTGAGTACTTTTACGCTGCGCAGCCCCTTGCTATGCACAAGATTTGCTTAAGCTTTTCTAAGGGTGGAGTAGCTAATTTAAACCTTTGTTTTGATCTCTATTTTTGAAGGGGGTTCCTGCTTAAGCCTACAATCTTAATCCTTGTCAGACACAGGAGATTACTGAGAACAGTTTTTTTTAGATATTTAATACTTAGAAGATGGGGTGACATATCTCCTATATTAGATTATCAGTTAGTTGTTTTTCTTTTTTTTCTTTCTTCACTTGACCTTTCTACACTTGTAAAAAAGACCGGGCATGCCTTAATTTAGACTACTTGATCTACTCTAGAGTTAATCCATTTTAAGTATCAAAAGTATCACTGATGTTGTTGGAAAAACTAGAAAGAATTAATGCAAGGAGACCATGTTTCAGATCTAAGTAATTTTTGGCTCTGCAGAAGCACGGTTGAAAATTTGAACATGCAAAGCCTAAGGAATCTTGAAATTGTGGTTCCATTTGGAATCTTTTTTTCCTTTTCAAAACTAAATTGTAGGGAACTAGGGATCGTGTCTTCGTTGATGATTGCGCATGGCTGGTCGAGTTACAAGACCCAAAAAGTGTCTACATAATAATATAAAGATGGACACAGGGGATTTATATATTTTATCTGCTTGAACTAGTTAATATAGATGGCATTAATTAGTTTATGGATCATGGGACTGGTTAATAAATAGTCTGATGGTTATGGTTTGGTTTCTTGTCATCATACATGGGTTTATATATGCTTTGCCACTGAGGTTACTAGCTTATCAGCTTGTCATACCTTCCAACTTAACTGATGTTCTTATGCTCTTGTTTCTTTAAAAACAATAGAAAATAAATTCATATGGACATGACGCAACACATGTAACTGACAATTTCAAAAGATTTATGTGCAGAATAACAATTACACGGAAAGAATATTTTTTGTTTTCCCATCTCAGGTAACGTGCATAGAAGTCACATAAACCACCAAAATATTATGTTTTCTTTTGAACATTCCTTTTTCCCCTTTCACTCATTTGTAGTAAACATATGTTCGTTAGAAAAGGTTGTTTCCTCCTTTTCAGTTATCTTACAGGTCTCCACTCAGAAAATTAATGTTACTCCCAACTTTTCACTAAAATTTTCTATTTGCCATCACATCTTGTATTAAGAGACTAGCAGAAGTTGCTGAGATGTCAATGATCTGATCCATGAATATAGAATAAATATATGTAGGTACTAGGTAGTAGGATAAATAACATGCTATTAAGCCATTTCGATTGGGTATACCAGCTTTAATTTTGCTTCAATTACAGTACTACTTCTTTTCTGTTGCCCATATTGCTTTCAACATTTTCTCTCAGTAGCTATCAGTTTTTAATTTTTGAGAAGCAAAATCATCTAAAATTTGCCAAAGTGTATACTTTCTAATACCAGATCTATGCCATATCTGTTATTCTCACTTGCAGACCTGTTTACCTACGTCTGTCTGGTATTACTACATCCAACGGCTGGAACTTTCTTTTCTTATTCTGTTGCACTTCCTCCACCTAGCACTGAGTTGTTTTCCTATTATAGATTCTTGCTAAGGAAATTGTGAGGTCGAGGCATGCTGTGAACCGCCTTTATGAAAATAAAGCACAACTGAATTCAATTTCAATGCATCTTGGTGAACTTGTTGGTAAGTCAATTTGAACTTGTCCTTTCTATGTCCCTGTTGTTTAGACTAGTTAGATTAAAAGTTACATGATTCCTTTACTTTTCATATAGCCTGAATTGATTTTGTATCTTACAGATTAACTAAAGAGAAACTTCTCCCACCTTCCATCCATATGATTACTGCTATAGATCCACTCAAATACTGTAGACAGCTAATTAAATAATAATACTAAAATGCTCTAATGATATCGTCTGTATTCTTCCTTTGAACAATCTTCTTTTTTCCAAAATAGTCTTAACTCGTTGTAGATTTATATATTTTACAAGACAACGAACCTTTAGCATTCCACTATGAAAATAGTACTACACTTCAAACACTTCTTTTTCTTAGCTACCTCAAAATTTAACTTTCCAACGTTAATCCTCTACATGATCCAAACCCAAACTTCTTCAACATGAAATCTCCTGTCCCAAATGAAGCTTGTGTTGGTCAAGGTTTACTGGATCTGCAAAATTGTGGAGCTTGGTGTAGAGGCGTGAGACATGGATAGGAAGGGAAATGTTGGTTTTGGAGAAGGAGATATTAGGTGAGAGGAGGATAATGGTTAAGATTTAGAGGAGCTGATGGGTGGTTGGCGTTCCGGGAGATGCTGTGACGAGAAAGATAGTGCAAAGATGTTGGTGGTATTAAAGAAAACCTTTATGCTAAATCTATATTGGCTAGCAAGCAAATTAAGTGAAAAGTTAGGAAGTTGGAGTAATTGTGCTTCATTTGGCACCAGTATGGTAAGTTTCACAAATATGACAAAGAAGTAGTCTTGTGGATACTCAAGACTCAGGTAGTTGTCCGTAATTTAGCCTTAATAACATAATGAAAGCCCTGTGCCATTGACATGTCAGAATTTTAATGTGTCAGTTTATTTACCTGTTCGATAATGCTTGTATGATTTGGGTTACCTACCAATTGAATCTAGTGCACATGGTCTATTAGTTACAGCCTAGGTTACCCGGACACTTCGTTTTGGGTGCTATATTCGTGTCGAACACGTGTTGGACATGGATTCACAGCGGACTAGCCATGCGACGTGTGGTTCAAAGCAAAACCCAATTTCCCCATTACTTGTAACCCTAAACTAGCTTCTTTGGTATATGGAGCTCAAAACCAAAAGGTTTTTGAACCCAAACCCCAAAACTATTACTAAACTATTTGAAAAATACCCATCATATCCCATGCTATCAAAAGTAAACTTTTATTGTTAAACCTTAATTTGTTGCTTGATTTGACTTGATTCTTAATTCTTTGTGGGAGTGTGCCTGTTTTTTTGTTTTTTTTTTTTTGGGGGGGGGGGGGGGGGGTCATATCCTGCCTTTTACAAATTTTTCATGCCCCATGTCCGCACCTGCACCCATAACCGTGCAACCTAGGTTAACGCACGAGGCAAACCATGTGCCTACTAAGGCTTTCTAAAGGCTTTCAACCTTTCAATACATAGAAAGGCCCCTTCGCTTATCATTTCTTTCTTTTCCGAGGCAGCAATAGGATATGGAAATGTATCGAAAAAAGGATTATTTTGTACCTCATCAGCACTTTATTAACGTTAACTGTATTCTTCAGTTCTACTTAGCTTCTATCTATCTAATTTTCCTTTCCATGTTTTAACAAATAAGTAGTGATGTTCATAAGCTTGAGGATGTTTTATATGATATAAAGTGACTCTTAGTTATGATAGTTTTATGCTTTCATATTCAGTGTGATACTTGCAATACTATTGTATTGGTTTGACTTGGAAAACTCCATAATAAGTTCCCAGTGCTGATTCTTATTCTCAGCAACTGCAAGAACTGTGGGCCATTTATCCAAGAGCGCAGAGGTCATGAAGCTTGTCAATAATCTCATGAAAGCTCCAGAAGTTGCTGCTACAATGCAAGAATTTAGTAAAGAAATGACCAAGGTAATCCATTTGATGTTGACTCATATACCTCGATTTTCCATGATTACTCTCCATCATCTATAGTATTCAAATTTTAAGATTAACTTTGAGAGGCTTATTCACATTATAAAGATAATAAAACAAGGTTTATTTGTTACTGCATTTTTACGGTCTACTTTATATTATTTTTTATGACTATACTCCATGTCATTCATTAATGAATCATTATAGATGTTTTGATACATTGTCTGTCTTTGAGCTCAGATAAAATATTGCTTCTTAGCAAAGGGCATCTATGCATTGATTGTATTCTTGCTGATAATCAAGATGTTATCTACGAAGACATGCAGGATGCAGCATGTTTTTTTGTTGCTCCATGTTCTACTGTCCTATAGATTTTAAATGTTGCATTGTTTATAGAAAATTTACCATTTTATGGCGGGCTTCCAATATTTCTGCTGCGGTAATTGTCTGAAACCATATATACATGCTAACTTTTGGCTTTTGGGTTATTTCTGAAAGAAACTTTTAAGAAAAAAGTCAGTTTAGCAAAGCACCATGTTGTTTATCAAAATGCAATTTTGGAAACATTTTGGACAAAAGTATGCCTCTTAAATATTCATTTTGTACCCAATATCTTCATATATATGTGTATATATATTTATTTATTCGTTATTTATTTATTTATTTGAGAAAACATCCACTCTGCTCACGTTGGGCTGTTCAGACTCATCAGCCACATGCAACAACCTTTGAATTTCCTTCAGCCATTCTCATGGGTATATGAATTTAGTGTTGGCTTTACGTGCATATTGACAACATACCTGCTATAGAATTCAGGAACATTCGTGATGTTATAGTATGACCACATAGCATATATCAGCTTGTTAAGATCTACACCAGTAGGCAGTAGTACATCTCATTCATATGCTGATATGGGGTTGCCTTGCCGTCACTTTGCAATTGTTGTGTACCACATTATAAGTGGACATTTTTTCTTAATCAATTAGCTTGCCAACATTGGATGATATTGTGTGTGTGTGTGTGTAAAAGAAGCGCCTCTTGATCCATGAATTTGTTTGTGTCATTATGGAGAGTTGATATTCTTATGGACAATCTCTTCGTTGGCATGGCATTGTTTTCTGTTCCATCTTGATATCTAACACTACACATGTTCCATTAGTGTACCTATGAGGTCATCCCAAGTTAGTCGCAGCACTTGGTATTACTCCATTTGTTCCAAGAGCCTTTTCCTGCTCCTCTTAGTTTTTTTGGAGTAGAAACAAGTTTTCTTTGAGCTTCCAGGTTATCAGTTTACTTTCACCTTGATGTATGTTGCATACTTGCTTAGAACTCGCAAGTTACGCAAGAAGAAATTTCTACTTTGATCATAAGCGGTATCAACTCATTTGTCATATGTGTAGATATATCAAGTTGGGAATTTAACTGATGATCTCAGTGAATGCCCAAAAGCTTCAAAAGAAAATGCATATTCCACCTCTAATCAAGAGTTCAATCAGTTTTGATCTATAAATGATTGAACAAAGAATTCTTAGATGATTTCTTGGATTCTTAGATTCTCTTTCCGAACAAACAAGTATTCTTTGATGATTGAACAAAGATCTAAGATCAGAGAAGCATCTGAGCCTGCAAGAGCACCAATAAATGATTGAACGAACAATAATTCTCGGTCTCTTTTCAAAACCAACTTTCCACTACAAACCGAACACAAACTTAAAAATTTGGATTCTTGATGATTTCTTGGATTTTTTTTATGTTGTCATAAATTTAAAATACAAATCCAAACACCAAACAGCCCATTCAAAAACAGAGATCTGGAAGATTGGGATTTGAAAGAATAATTGGGATATCGAGAAGAGACGGTTAAAGATCACAGGCCCCTTACATGAAAATGTACATTCTGTTAATGGCTGCTGATGCGGATAAGAGCTAATGGCAAAAAGGTCTAATTTGAGTGGTGCATTTATTTTTAGCTTGAGGCCGGGTTATTGGCAAAGGGCGTGAAAGATGAACAGGCATTTTGGTTATATTAGTCCACCAAATCTATACAGGATCAAACACATTAATCAATTGCTACAAAACACTTATTAAGATATTTCTCGACAAATATGAAATGTAGAATTAGGACATTGCATAGCTAAGAGGTCCATTGTAAAGAGGGTGTGGGTTATGATCCGTCAAGAGGTGGAATTGTTGAGACTCACATGCTTCAATTTGATTAGCAGGGTGCGCCTCACCACCAAGGCACCAATGCATTTCTTGGCAGCTTATTTGACAAAATGAGCTGCTACCTTATACCCATTTTCTTAAAATTTTTTTGTCAACATGTGGTCAAAGTGTGACACATGCACTTGTATTCTCAACTTCTTGGTCCTATTTACAGGCAGGGGTGATCGAAGAGATGGTGAATGATGCCGTTGATTCAGCTTTGGACTCTGAGGACATGGAGGAAGAAACAGAAGAAGAGGTCGAAAAAGTTCTTGCAGCAATAGCAGGCGAGACTGCGTCACAGCTTCCGGATGCTGCACGAAAGGAGATAATAAAGCAACCTTCAACAAGCCAAACAACTGCTGCAGAGGTATTTTGATATAATTGCTAAGCGCTCTCTTTTCTTTTTTTCTTTCATAACATTCGTGCGAGGTTGCTGGTACACCCCTTGTGCTATACATGTTCTACTTACTATCCCTAATTGTTATTTTTTTAAAAATTGCACTTACAACCCCCTAATCTTAGACGCCATTACTTCTTTAGCCTCAAATTTGAGGTCAATTTTGTTTTTGTTTTTTGTTCTTTTTAACCTAAAACCGAGAGTATAGGATAATCTCAAATTTGAGGTCAATTTTGTTTTTGTTTTTTGTTCTTTTTAACCTAAAACCGAGAGTATAGGATAATTTATCATCTTATAAGCTAACTTGGAAATTTAACCTAAAACCGAGAGTATAGGATAATTTATCATCTTATAAGCTAACTTGGAAAATAACATCGTCCGGAGTTTTGAGTTCAGGGTGTAAGTAATAATAAAATATCTTAGAGGCACAAGTGGCTACACCCTCATAGTACAAGGTGTGTATCTGCAATTATCCTGTACCGCAAAGAGCTAAAAGAAAATATGGGTTATATGTTGCAGTCAGAAGCCATTGCAGAGGGAGTTGATGATGAGGGAGAACTAGATGAGATCAGAGCACGGCTAGCTAAAGTAAGGTCGTAGTCTGTTCTCTGATGATATTGTTAATTGGTGGCGATTCGAACCTTGCCTCGAGGTTTTGTTGTATTCTGATATTGTAACTAATGTATGATTATCATAGAAGATTCAAGCTTCGACGGTTGTATATTTGCATATATATATGCTGTTTATATGATTATATCATTCTGCCGAAGCACATATTTAGGCGAGGGATGGAAAGCCATTGTTCACTATAACATTTTGACACATATAAACTAATTTTTTTTCTTCATTTCTTAATGGTGTGAATGTACATTTATGCCGTGGCATATCAAAAAATTATTATTGCATATGAAACAAGATATAAGCCTTCGCATTGTCACATTATATTTTAGCTATGTGATTAATATACCAGGAACAAATTTGCCTGAGAAGTAGAATTATATTATAGCAAATCAATTACAGACTGTTAGTGGTATATTTCCAACTTCCATTATCATAGATGTAAATAAAAAGTGTTGATAAACGCAATCATGATTCAAAGAATTAGGTAGACCTCTCCAAAGAAAAGGTGAGCAAAAATTTGTATGCCAAAACTAAAATAATAAGTTTTTGCTTTCAAATAAATAGGCTAAGAAGAGAGTTTGATACCTTTGCACTGTTTTATACCGTACATAACGGGATGAATTAATGTAGGCTTTTATCTTTGCTTTTATATTATCAGAAAAGGTTTTTTAGGGTTTGTGTTGTCCTACATCACTGATATTTATCAAGAACTACAACAATTCCAATTTCTTAATTCAAACAAAATAGTTGATTAACACAAACCTGAAAATGAAAAATATCCACCTCCAACTGCTTTCTTGACACTATTTATGTAGTTAGTCTCCTGTTTTAGATATGGAAATAAATTGTGATCATAAACATGCATGTGTTTAGCACAGTTATCGAGTCATCCTCCAATGTGGAGGATGATAAAGAATGAGTCTCCAAAGAACCTGTTAACTAGATGAGAGATCATCTTCAACCTCTAGCCGGAAATATATTTTTTACTTGAAAGTAGAACGGTAGAAGTAACATCTACTATCTTTACTCTAGCTACTTCATAGCTATTTTCGTGCACAAACAAGTAGAACGGTAGAAGTAACATCTACTATCTTTACTCTAGCTACTTCATAGCTATTTTCGTGCACAAACATGCTCTTTTTGACCAAATTTGGGATATATCTTTACTCTAGCTACTTCATAGCTATTTTCGTGCACAAACATGCTCTTTTTGACCAAATTTGGGATATGATGTGTTACCGCTAGCAATTTTTTTTTTATCCACAAGCTACTTCCCAAATTATAAGGAAGTATCTAGTAAAGACGACCCATGATATTAATGTGCATCCAAAGGGTATCAATCCTTGAATCGATGCACGAATCATGAAGTCCAATGATCCAATGATTGATATCCTTTAGGTGCACATTTAATGCCATGAGCCATCCCTACTGGATACCTTCTTCTAAATCACATAGCAGATAACTGCATTGACTAATTTGAAATATATACTAGAGATTGGAGGCTAAATATCAATTTTAATGATTTGGACTAAATTCAGATTATGAAGTATGTAACAGACCAATAAATGAAATACCCATTTGGAGAAGTACTATTTTTAATCAATTTATTTTCTAGTGGTGGTTTCAAAAGAGAACACCCGCGTCCAACGCTCAACCCCACAAAGCTTACAAACTCTCCAGTACTCTCTCCTTGTACAAGGCCCCTCCCTCTGTCCTGTTATTTCCTTTTTCTTTTCTCGTTGCTTCTATTAGCAAAAGCATGGAGAATGGAATCTCAGAAGAAGATATGCAGAGGATTTTCAAGCGTTCTGACATCAACGGCGATGGCAAAATATCCTCGACAGAGCTCGGGGAAACTCTACGTGCTCTCGGCTCAACATCAGCCGATGTGGTTGTGGTGCAGAGCATGATGGACGAACTCGACACCAACAACAATGGATATATCGATTATAACGAGTTTGTTGCCTTCTGCAAGGATAACCCGGGCCTTATGAAGGACGTTGCCGAATCCTTTACATAATTGTTTGTTGCTGAATCCTTCGGATATTACTGAATGGTGATGTTGAGGAATCTTGCATGTATTACATGAGTGCTTGGCCTTTTCATTTAATGTTTAGGTATTATTCTTGTAGCTACGCATGGTGCTAATTTGAAATCAAACTTGAACTTGGATGTGGGCGATTTTCCTTATTCTCCTTTGTTGCATCAAAGGAGATAGCTTGATACAAGTGTTAGGACTCAAAATTCCTACAAGCGAGAGAGAAGTCAAGGACAAAAAAAGCAATAACAGAAGATAAATATTTTTACGTGATTCGGCAATTTGCTTACGTCCTTGGCTACACTTAGGTTTTGTTATTTTCTTTCTGATCAAGTTACAATTACAAGATAGAGCGCTAATATATATAGATAGAGACTACGACTACATGCTACATGTAGGTTAGAGATTTACCTTTCTACATAAGATATAGTTTTAGAACACCACAACTCCAACAACAAGCTATAACTTAGCCTCTGTCTCTGGACAATGTGATGTGAATCAATAAAAATACAAATAAATAATTAGTTGATAAATTAATTGCTCTTCTCCATCAGTAATTACTCGATGCTACCTTATACCAACCAAGCGTTGCGGCTTGTTGAAGAGATCATTTCTGAGGCATTTCTCATTTGAAGCCACAAGAAACCGACAACTGATCGATTGCAAGCAATTGACAAATCCTGTAATCTAAACAAAACGATCGATTAAGTAAGGCAGAAGTTTGTCAAACATCAGATTGCACACAACAATCACATATCATTTTTCTTTTTTCATGCCGCTGGAAGAAGGCAGAAGTCTGTCAAACATCAGATTGCACACAACAATCACATATCATTTTTCTTTTTTCATGCCGCTGGAAGAAGTCTCGATCCCATACATTTGCTTCAAAGTATCGATCACAGGGCGAAATCCAGTGCGCAAGGGAACAACGGAAGCAGCACGGAGATGCTGAGCATTACTGCTCTTTGGCTTCGACAGTGTAAGCCTGCACATTTCCCCTTCTAATACCTCTGCTGCCTTTTCGGCTGAAACTCACAAAACACACCAAAATAAGTGACGATAAACGAAAGAGAGAACATTTTGGATTTTAGAGAGAGAGAGAGAGAGAGAGCGCGCACCCGCGAATGGATGGAGCCTGCAGAAGTGAAAGAATTCGTCGGCTGAGCAGCCGAAGAGGACACGGGTGACGCGATCGAAGAAGATCACCACGATTACCTCGTCGGTAGTAGCAATGGATACCTACCGAGCAGCACAAATCACAATTGATTGGTCTTAGTGTACTATTAAGTATGAGCTGAAAGTTCGTTTAGCAAAATAAGTCGTAAATAAAAAAGTAGTGCAACCAGACAAGTGTGGTAGTAGAGAATAGTCTCTTAGCTCAATACATTAGTCCCCAATCTTCATGTTTTGCACTGATTCAAATATTCCTATCTTTTAAATCATCATGTATTTGTGAAATACAATCTTTGTCTTTTAGGTAGCTCATTTTGCTAAACAAATTACAACCTTACACCTAATTTCCGTAAAGTAAAATTTAATTATCCTGAATTTTTGGATGTTTAATATTTTTAAGAGAATGATGAATATGAGGTGACAACTTATTTAGTAAAATGAGCTACCAATAGATAAGAGTAGTGAGACCATCCACACATTTTGATATGATTGGCAAGATGAGCCTCATCACGTGACTATCTCATGATAGCCTATTTAGCAAGATGTGCTGTCATTTCATACCCATTATGTACAATTTTTAAATATGCATAAAACATACACTATAGGAAAGTTAACTCTAACAATATTAAAGGTATTGTCAAAAACCTAAACTTTAAATATCTTAATAGTTAAGGAGTAGAAAATGAAGAATCACGTATAAATGGCTAATCGCACATAAACCCTCCATACCATGACATTATATCATGTATTACCTCTTAAGTATGATATGGTAGAAACCTCTCAAGTTTGGCATAAGTCTAAGCAGAAAAAAATTATAGTGAGGGTTAAGGGCTATATTTTTTCACTCTAATATGCCTTTGCATGTTTGAGCACCCTTTTTATAGGTCGAAATCTAGACATACACAGCTGTTCTAGCACTAACTTAAAGCCCTTACCGCTGCAAAAAACTCCAAAGTTATGATAATGGATAGACTCCTATAAATTGTGATTATCATTAGAGATTTGTGGCGTTAGACTTGATATAATTCCGCACTGCGCACCTCTGTCCTAACTGTTATTTTCCATCTCCACCGTAAACCTGGTCGAAAACAACACACCTTCCAAGAAAGAGGAGACATGGATGGTGACGGTGGGGTTGGACTCCATTTCAATTCTCGAGGATCTATCCGTGCTAGAATATAAACTGTAACCCACAATCCTCGCTATAACTTTAAAGTTCCAGTGTATTGGTTGGGTCCTTTCACATATGGGACTAGTAGTCCCATATGTTTTCTGAGTTCATCTCAATGTTTTATAAAATTTTCTGAGTTCACTAATCCGTGATTAAAACAACGGGACTACTAGTCCCGTATGTTTTCTGAGCTGTTTTGCAAAATAGACATCTTTTTGGCCTATTGGCCAAAAAGAGGTCTATTTTGCTAATTATTTAGCAAAACGGTCTATTTTGCTAAATAATTAGCAAAAACGGACTATTTTGCAAATTTTCCCTATATTTCTCCTTACTGTCATCAGAAAAAAGAACATGGAAATAGGATTTTTAGGTGGGTATTGGATTTACAAGGATCCGATAGACGCGTTTGCACCCGGGATTTGCGGAGGAGTTGTTGGAGCAGAAGGAGCAGAAAGAGGAAGGGTCTTCAGGGAGGGTCCTCTCGCAGATGGAGCAGGCTCTGTAGCTGATGCTTTCGCTCGTGTCCACCGCCACGATGGTGCAGAATGGGAGCGACCACTTGTCTTCCTTGTTAGTGGATCCGGATTTGGGTCCGAACCCGGGTCCGCTGGGCTCCATTTCGGATTTGGAGGATCAAGAGACGGAGGTCAAGTGAAGAAAGGGTTCTGGTTGTTATTTTGGTGCCGAAGTAAATGCCCGTGCCCGTGCAGTACACGGGCGTGTGAAGAAAGGGTGGTATATTTGATCTGAGCCCTTAAATGTCCTTGATGTTGACTTTTATGAGAGTCAGTGAGGGCACTGACGTAGTGTTTTGCAAGTGTGAGAGTGTGTTTCTTTTTAGGGGTTGTTTGGTTGTTTTCCGAAAAAAATCGGAAATGGAAATGTCATATTTCATTTGCTTTCATCACATTTCAAGACATTTACCAGTTTTCTTTTTTTCTGTTTGTTTCGCAAAGAAATCACCCCATTTCACCGCCATGTCACACTAAAAACAAAAAAAGCCGCAATAGTAACAGTAGAATAGATTTCCATTTATTGTATTTGTTTGTGAAAAAAAAAAGAGAAATATAGGTCAGCCGCAATAGTAACAGTAAAATCAGCATTTAAATAATCTGTTTTATTCTCTTATACTATTTCAACAGTGCTTTTATTAATTAAAGATTCATAGAAGTGACATTTCCAAGTGTTTTCAGAGGTTTTTGTGTAGGATAAACTAACGATCTAGACATGAATAATTGAACTAGAAATTCAGATTAAAGTTACCGTTCACCGACGAAAATAATGGAAGTCTTCTCCTCTCTCCTCCCGTAGCCAATGATGGGAATTAGGTCTCTTTTCTGCATACGGTTTCAAAAAAAATATTTAAATTTTTCAAAAACTTTCAAAAGTCGGGTGCGCACCCATTTATTTTAGAAAACAACTTGTTGCCATGATTCTAATTAGGATAGTTTCCGAAACCTTTTCCTTAAAACAAAAGTACCACTAATGGTTGATCGTGAAAACACTATATGCTCTAATATGGCACAAGGTCACTCCACGGTCCAACCGCTAGTACCACTAATGTTCTAAAGACATTTTCCTTATGGTGGTTTTAGTGGAGTGTAATAGAGCCGTACATCCCTTATGGTCAAATCCGATGTACGCCCTTAAGTGTCCTCTGCAACATACACAAACATGTATGCCGTTCTGAAACTTTTACCGGCATCCGCCATGTGAAAACCATCACCTTTAGTCCAGAACGAAAGCCTCAAATATGATGCCCAATCATATTCAGCTTCTGCACAAATTTAAGAGTCTCTTTACTTTAACCTTTATGACTCTATGGACCACTGTCTTTAATTCGAGTTTCTTTACAATTAACTTGAAACTCTTTACTTTAAACTTTAGTTTTCTTTACTTTAAAATATATATATCAAGCAACAATGACCAAGAACACAATGCTTGAAAATATCAAACTGCTAAAAATTAGCACAATAGTTTCTTTATGAGCTCAAAGCAATCCAGAATATAGTACTTGAAAACAAAACAAAACTACTACGACAACTGAATCTCACTGATCATATAGAATCGAAAGACTCTAAAATACCCATACTGGATACATGTTCCTTGAAGAGCCCTGGAGAAATTCCCTTGGTCAAAGGATCAGCAATCATCAACTGAGTCGGCAAATGAGGAACCTCAATCAATCCTTGTTCGACCTTATCAAGGACTAACAAGTACTTCACACCGATGTGCTTATTCCTGCTAGAAAAATTCTTGTTCTTTACAAACTGTACGACTGCCTGATTGTCACAATACAATTTTACTGGTCTCTGAATGTAATCCACCACCTTTAGTTCACTGATGAAATTCTTGAGCCAAGAGGCATGCAATGTTGCTTCAAAAACAGCAACATACTCTGCCTCCATGGTGGATGTCGTCACTAAGGACTGCTTGGCACTTTTCCAGGAAACTGCTCCTCCAGCGAGCAGAAATATATAACCTGATGTTGATTTTCTGCTATCAGCACATCCTGCGAAATCTGAATCTGAATAACCAACGACTTCTAGATTTTCAGACCTTCTGTAGACCAACATGAAATCCTTGGTCCTCTGCAAATACCGCAAAACCTTCTTTACAGCTTTCCAATGAGCTACACCAGGATTTTGTTGAAACCTGCCTAATATTCCCACGATATAACTGATGTCTGGCCTGATGCATGACACCGCATACATTAGACTGCCAACTGCAGAGACATACTCCTCAGAGTTCACGAGCCTACGCTCAACTTCATTTCGTGGACATTGAGATTTGTTGAACATATCTCCTTTAACAACTGGGGCTTCACCTGGTGCACAAAACTTCATGCCATATCGCTGAAGGACTTTCTCAATGTAAGCCCTTTGAGATAAGCCCAACAAGCCTTTAGTTCGATCTCTATGGATCTTGATGCCCAAAACATAATGAGCATCTCCGAGGTCTTTCATATCAAAATGCCTCGAAAGAAAAACTTTAGTCTCATGTAGGAGATGAATATCGCTACTGGCAAACAATATATCATCTACATATAATACTAGAATGAGGAATCAGCTCCCACTGATTTTGAGGTATATGCAGCGATCGACAGGGTTTTCTCGGAAGCCATATGACTCATCATGTTGCGAGCAACATCTTGATAAGTACGATTTCTTCTTTCAGCTACTCCATTTTGCTGCGGAGAACCTGGGAGAGTGTACTGAGGAACAATGCCTTGTGACCTCAAGTACTCAATGAAAGGACCATGATTTGTGCCGTCCTGATCGCTTTTACCATAGAATTCCCCACCTCGATCAGAACGCACAGATTTAATCTTTCTTTCTAATTGTTTTTTCAACTTCAGCTTGAAAGATCTTGAAAACATCCAGTGCCTCATATTTGTGGTGAAGACGAAAAAAATAGGCATAGTACAAAAATTATCTATAAAGGAGATGAAGTATCGCTGACCACTATAAGAGAGAATGGGAAGGTCCACAAATATCTGTATGACTGAGGTCAAGGAGACCTTCACTCATGAATTACTATTAATCCTAGGACGCTTTGTACCAGAAGAAAATGAATTCACAGACATACAGAGAGGGGAAAGAAGAGATGCATCCAGATTTAATCTATAAAGACCGTCAATTAAGAAACCATGTCTGATAACATCCAAACCAATTTTGATAGAAACAAAATTATTCTAAAAAACAAAACTATAACCAGATTCAGAAAATCTAGAAAAGAAATAAGCTTCTCATAGAAGGTACATAGAAAGCGTCTGATAAAACTAAAGAAACTCCAGAATCCAAGCGCATACTGAAAATCCCAACGAGCTCCACCTCCAAGGGCTGTGAGTTTCCCAAAAACAGCTGCTCATTTGCCCTTGCCTTCCGACTGTGGATTATTCTCTTCCTTTTTCTTCAGCCACTGCTTATACTTCAGACAATCTCTCTTCATATGACCAGGTTTCTTACAGAAGAAACATTCAACCCTTTCACTTGCTGAAGAAGTGCTAGAAATAGTTGAAAGATTACCGAAAGACTTCTTCCCCTTATTGTGCCCTTGATACTTGAAGGATTTCTTTCCTGCCTTATTTGGTCCAAGCTTGTCATGTGCTAGATTTGCCATCTCAGCTTTTTCTATTTTCAGTCGCTCTTCATCGGCAACACATACAACAATAAGCTCATTCAAGTCCCATTTCTAGTCTTGAGAACTGTAGTTCACCTTAAAAGTGTCAAATTTGCTTGGTAGAGAAGCGACTGCAAAATGAACCATTAGATCATCCTCTAACTGAAGTCCCAACTCCCTGAGACGAATGATCAACTGAGAGACCTTCAAAATGTGCTGCCGAACATCACCACTTCCATCATATTTCAGATTAATGAGTTTGACCAGATAATTGTACTGTCTCGCTCTAACGGATCCCTCAAACTGCTTCTTGATGGTCTCAAGCAACTCCTTAGCAGTTTCACAAGCCGGAATCCCTCCACGAATAGTCTGGTCCACCGATGCTCTAATGATCAGCATTGCAAGCTTGTTGGCTTTGACCCACTTAGCATGAGATTTCTTTTCAGATTGACTTGATGACTCATCAGGCTCTTCTGGCTTATCTTCAGTGAGAACATAGTCGTAGTCAAGACACCCAAGTACTATTTCAACTTGCATCTTCCAGTTGCCATAGTTGGAACCGGTTAGGGGCTCAATCCCAGTCAGATGCTTCTGGATAAACTGTCCGTCCATCTGCATTACACCATGGACGTATAAATCAAATGAGACCTTCAATTTTATTAACTTTAATATTTCCACATCCAATTTAGGGTTAGAATGGATGGGTCAGAGTGTTTTACGTATGCAACCTTCCACTCTGCGGGACAGGCGGGTGCATCATCTCATCACACCTTTGGGCAAGTGATTTGATATGCTATTCGCCCCCCAAATGTGATATATATAATCACCTACAGAACTAGCCTACACAATGTCAGTTTGATTTGAACACTTCCTAACCTTTGGGCAATAGGGTTATTCTCCTCTTACTGACATGTTTCAACTATCCTGCACCACTTATCCTGTAGGGGATTTCCTAGACACCTTTGGGCAAGACTAGTAGTCCACCCACAGATAAGTGCAACCTGCCAGTCCAAATGAGACTAAACTTAACCTTAGAAAATTAGGGTATTATAGGCTGGTCACCTTTGGGCAAGACACTGACCTACTCTACCATAATTTCTAAGTGACTGTTTTACTGATCTTCCTTAACCCATAGGTTGATCTAATACTATAATCCGTTTTATCATCAACCCAAATATTTACCCCACCTGAATTAAGGATATAATCAGGGTAAATCAATTATCTTTATGTGCATACAATAATCTTTATGAATTTTCCAAATTACTGTATTAAAACTTTATAAAATGAAAATTAAAACTGTATAGTTGAAAAGTACACAAAATGATCTTTCCAACGACTATTTATGGGCTCAAATCGGACTTAAAACGGATCTGTAACGACCAAAACAAAATGAATGGTCAAAACTGTAATGGGTCGGGTCTGGAAATTAACGGATCTGGCTCATTACATAATGGGTTGGGTCAGATTTTAATGGATCCAATCCATTACTGTAGCGGGTCGGGTCCATTACATACTGGATCGGGTCTTCCTTAATGGGTTATAGGGTTATATAACTTAAAAATAAATAATTAGATTAATTAATTAATTTAATTAGTAAATAATTAGATTAATTAATTAATTATAACCCTAATTAAAACCCTAACCCTAATGCCACCCAACCCAAGAGCCGCCGCCAGCACCCAATCTCCCACAGAACCGACCCTCCGCCGTCGGCCGCAACCCCGCCACCTGCCGCAACCCCGCCACTGGCCGCCGCTCACCGCTGAGCACCGAATCCGCAGAGAGAGAGAGAGCGCGTGCATAGAGGGCGTGGCATGGCGAGGAGCAGCCATGGTTGAAGACAAATTAGAACCTTCATGGCGACGGTGTGGAGAGAGATCAGCAGCAAGATAGTTGAATATTATTATATATATATATATATATTTTTTAATCTTTGCTGCGGCTGAGGTTGAGCAGCCATGGCGGAGATTGATTTTTTTTTTTTTTTTGAAGCTAATGACCAAGATTAAATCTTTAATAATCATTATATTGGCCATGGCCGCCGCAGAACTTCTACCAGATGCAAATCAATGAAATATTTAATAATTATTATCCTTGCCATGGCCGCAGAACTTCTCGCAGATGCAAAACGATAATAATAATAATAATTTTTTAATTAATCCGAAAAAACTTTAAATCTAGATCAAAAATTCATGCACAAACTGTGCTCTGATACCACTGTAGGATAAACTAACGATCTAGACATGAATAATTGAACTAGAAATTCAGATTAAAGTTACCGTTCACCGACGAAAATAATGGAAGTCTTCTCCTCTCTCCTCCCGTAGCTAATGATGGGAATTAGGTTTCTTTTCTGCATACGGTTGAGAGGAGGGACTCCCACCCTTTAAATAGATATTTATGATTAACCCTACCCATCATGGTTTAATCACAACCGTGGGATTACACTCCGGTTGATCCTATCCTTTAGATATTCAAGATAACCACCCAACTTGATAAACTTGAAACTGTCTAACCAGACCATGTGGTTAGCATCCTGATCCTAACTTGAATCGATGGCAACTTTAAATCAAATCCAAAATCGAGTAGGTTGGGCCACTTGGGTTCGTTGGATTAATCGAACCCAACATTTTGGTGTGAAAACACATTTCTTAAAATTTGACATGGCATCCTACGTGGCATCCCCCTTTTCTTAAAACTCAAAATGAAACAAACATATGAAATGGAAAACGGTTAAAACCAAAATCTGAGGTGGCAGGGGGGGATTTCCTCAAAGGTGACATGGCGGGGGGGTTTCTCATTTTTTTGGGCAAACAAACAGCCCCTTATTTTTTATGTAGGATGCATAAAGAGAAAAATCATTGAAAAGTGGAGCCTTCACGAGCAAACGCGGATACAGATATATTACTAAGTTGTCCGATAAAAATGACCATATCTCCCGGTCCGAAAGGTGAATTCTGATATATTATATGTTATGTTGTTCCCAATCATCTAAGTGCGACCCTTTACTAGCAACGGATAGATGTACATCTGCATACATTAATGCTCCAATCAAGTTGGCGGCTGGAGATCAACAGGGACGACAACTCAGCTGACTTGTCGAGTCGTCATTCCCTCACATCGACTCGAAAGACAGTACTTGTCGTCCCCCTTTTGTCGAAGACGACTCGCAACGAGCCCACTCAACCAACTACTTGACGCCTTATGAGGTCGACTCGAAAGACATTACTTCTCGACGAAGCTAGAAGACAACTTCAACCTCGAGCCTCTCCCATTGACAACGTGTCAGCGTCACATTTAATGTTTAGTAGACGCCATCATACCTCTAGCACCGGTAGCATTCATGACTCATCGGACCACGTCAGCACCGCTATGCCTCAGATCACTTTCCATTTAATGCCGATGTGATCTCTCCTCCAGTCGCCTGCTGACACCTGTAAAGCGAGTGCTGACGCAGCTGTCAAGCCACGTTTCTTCATCGCCATCCTGTGCTCGGCCACAATGACGGTTATGCCCCTTCGACACTACTATAAATACAAGGTACTATTCCCTCATTGGAGGATCCTGGTTTTTTCTGCGAAATCAGTGTCTTCAACAAACCATACCACACGCAAAAGAACTCTCACGGTTCTTTATTTTCTCCACTCAAAGCTCACTAGCTGACTAGATCGTTGGAGGAATCACGAGGGAACCAGTCCCCGTCCTCTTACGTGTTTCTACTTGTGTAGGCTTTTCAGCGACCCTGTTTGGTGGAAAATTTGTAGTAAAAAGAAAAATTGAAAAAAATATATTTAATTTGTATTCTCTCAATCTTGATTACAATTTGGACTTCCTGAATACAAAAGAGAAGAGAATTAATGCAAATCCTCTCCTTTGTTTAAGTCTGGGTTCTTCACGATGGCGATGAAGTACCTCCCTCGAATGCTCGCGTCGAGTTTGCTCTCTGTTGACGATCTGAACGTCTTGATTCACTGGAACAATATCTCCTCCTCACGATTTGACGCTGTGGAGAACTTACAAAGCAAGTTTTAGAACTCTGAACGAGTTCGAAGCTCTATGAAAGAGTTGATTTAACCGAAATCGGTTTGTAAGCCAAGGATGAAGAAAGCTCCTGTTGCCGAAGAATGATCTGAGCTCTCCCAAGATAAATACCACTCTCCCTTAAAGATGATATGCCAAAAGATCTCTTCTGTGCTGCTGAAAAGAGGATGAATCCGAGAGCCAAAATGAGACCCCCCCAAGAGAAGCCTGAACTCAGTTGAGTTTACTCTTATTTATAAGGGATTAAGGGGTGTAATCGCCCCCTTAATTCGCTTCTAAGTAGGGCTGAATGGGGTATAACCGCCCCTTAAATTGCTCCCCAAATCTTGGGGAAAACAATTTTAAAACCGTTCAGTTCGTGCTTTGAACGAGTCAAACGCTGAAAAATAGCGTTCATGGCTCGAACTCTGCGTTTTAGACTTGAAACATAAAGTTGGGCTTATTTTGGTGGTTGAACGCACAGGTAGCGCTGCGTTTGTAAATCTGAAATGCAGAGTTGGGACGCAGAGATGAACTTTGCGTTTGAGTTCGCGAACTCTGTGTTTTTAACTGGAGCGCTGGAGATGACATCTGCATTTTGACTCTGAAACGCGGGCATGACCTCTGCATTTTGATGTTATAACACAGGGATGTCCTCTGCGTTTTGAGGTTGTAATGCAGGGAGGACCTCTGCGTTTTGAGTCTGAGACGCAGAGGTGAGCTCTGCGTCTTGATTTGAAAAGACCGTCAATTTGTAGTCTCTTTTGTTAGAGCGTTACAAAGACCGTCATCTTGTAATCTTCATCTTAACTCCTTGAAAATATGAGAGTCGTCAGATTGTAACTCCCGATGTTGATTGTGAAGGCTATTGAACTAGAGCTTTCATCGGTTATTGTGAATGTCGTCAAATTGTAACCTTCATCGATCTATGTAAAAGTCTTCAAATTATAGCCTTCTGGAAATCGTCAAATTGTAACTTCCATCATTGGTGTTTGATGGAGGATTAGCTATCTGTTATGATTTTTAGACAGCCTACAGACCCACCTAAGAACCGGGTATTCGGTGAAGGAAGTGGCCCCTCATCAACCCAACCTTACCCCTATCCAACCGCGGATATTATTGACTGTGTGATCACTTAACATCAACATTATATGTGTAAATGCCTATCTTGATAAGACAGGGCCAACCAAATTGACATTCTTGAAATCTCATCAGCGGTACACAATTGAAGTAGAAGTTCAAAAATAATATAGTTTGAGTTTATTTTTAGTAATAAAATTAGAGTCAATTTAGATTAGGAAACAAATTCATTTTTGATTCAATTTGTACTGATTTGTTCCTCTATTTTAGGGGGTCTCTTACGTAGTTTTAAAGAATGTCGTTTTTAGGTAGGGTTGGGGGTGTGGGTAGTTTGGGTTGGGTGGGGGGGGCTGTTAGGAGTAGACTTTATTTTGTTTTCTATTTAAGAAGAATGGTTGTAACTTTCATAAGTAGGTCACTTTTATCAATAAATTTTTTCTTATTAAATTTTCTTCGTGAATTTAAAGGTTGTTCTTTATGGATTCAAATGGCATCGCAGTGGATTCTGAGGTCCATCACTTAAGACATGCGTTAATTTTTCAAAAGGTATTTCTGAAGATATGACGCACAAAGCAAAATGGAGACTTTTCTTAAATATATAGTATGACATATATTATAATGTCATCCTATCTCTTAAGTGTGTTTGACAAAACTATGCAAAACTAGACCAGTACAAGTCCTAGCTTAGTCTTGTGCTAAACTAGTTTTCTTTTGGACCAATCCCCTGGTCCGAAAGAAAACTGGTTTAGAAGCCATATTTTGGCCCACGAAACAGGCCAAATCTGACCCTCTTGTTTGCCAACTCAAAAATCTTTTAAAATTGGGTCAATTTTGAACCTCGCCAATTTTGAAAGATTGCCAAACACACCCTTAAGAAGAAAAGTTATTTAAGTTAATCCATTTAGAATAACCGAAATGATTAGATAATATTCTACTTTATTAAATAAGATAATATTTTCATTCTTGAGTTTTTTTAGTGGTTGGAGTAGGAGAGTGTGTGTGGGAAAAAATAAAACACTTCGATGTTTTTCTTTAAAGAACATGAACCTTGATAATATAAAAATGACTTTTGCAATTAAGAGAAATATCAAAACAACGTCCAAATATGATTTGAGTACATAATCTGAACTTGGATTCAAACATTGGAATACGATTAAGCACACAAGTTGGGTGCCAAGCACAAGGAGTGCATAATAATGCAATTGCAATATAAATCCTAAATACTAGTCTGTACATATCCATTAATGGAGTTCCGCATGTATCTTTTAAAATTAATAATATATATTATAAATACTCTTTTCACCCCCATAAGCTAATATTTCGAATAAACCTGCAAAAATAAATCCAGAAATCAAACTCGAAAACTTTGCGTGAGTGAGAGGGAGCTGCGGCCGTAATATATCTTCTATCAAATTTTGAGTTCTTTCAGAACGATAGAAATCAATTCGACTGTTTTGATGACTGCATTCAAGTGAAACAAAAAGTATGAGAAACAATCTCACATTTGATCAGAGCTGATAAATTTAATAGAACAACATTAAGGATTACCATCATTTCATGGTCTCCCATAATCTCTTCAGCCACCTCAAGCAGAGGTTTATTTGCGCTGTTAGGAACAAGTGCTGCAAACACTGCAGGCTTTAACCCTGCACATTAAAACACAGCGAAACACTATAATGCAATATAATTTTTTTTTTGTAACCTTTTCTAGGCTTAAAATGTTTTCATGTTTTCACAAGGTCAAAATGAAAATATTCAGGCAGAAATTTCCTGTGCACAAATTTCCTGTACTATCTTACTATGCCACTTGTTACACTTTAAGTTTAATATTGGCAAATCGAAGCCTTGGAACTAAACTTAACGCCATCACTCATCCTGCACTCCTCCTGTCTTCTGAACAGTGCCGTTTCTAGCAAGGGTTGAGGCGGAGATTTTCTTCTTCTTTTTTATTTTTTATTTTTATTTTGTTGGTGGGGGAAGAGAGGGGAAGAGTGACATTATCTGCCACATATCTCTAGTGGCGTTCAGCATCAAACTTAAGGGGTAATAAGTGGCACATTGCTACATCACCGGGTATCTGTGTAATTGACCCTTTTTTATATTTCCACAAAAGAAGAGAGACCTATGAAGCATTATCAGATATTAAGAGTTAGAAAGATTGAAATGTGATACCAGTCTCTGGAAATGCGTCAATAAACATCATCATTTCCTCCCCACTTAATCCAGAGAGGAAGCATATTCTCGGCAAAGATTCAGCAATCTGCAATTTGGGAAGTAACGCACACGTAAATTGAGAAAAGCTCATAATCAGGAGTTTAGTGGGTTAACTAACTGAGCAACAATGCTGGATCAAAGCAAAGTCGATAAGTTGATTTGGTCGTCAGAGGTGTGATGTTAACGCGACAAGATTGTGGACCTATCGCTTTATTGAAGAGAGTCAATAAGTTGATTGTCAGAGGTGTTTTGTTACGATCGGAGCAACTTTTTGGACTTATCATTCTATTGAAGAGGATTGATAACTTGATTTGTCAGAGGTGTGATATTAACGTGATAGGAATTTTTTACGATCGGAGCAACTTTGTGGACTAATTATCCTATTGAAGAGGATTGATAAGTTGATTTATCAGAGGTGTGATATTAACGTGATAGAAATTTGTTACGATCGGAGTAACTTTGTGGACTTATCATCCTATTGAAGAGGATTGATAAGTTGATTTATCAGATGTGTGATATTAACGTGACAGGAATTTTGTACTTGTGATTTGAACAAGATTTTAAAGACTTAGCGTCTCGCTGGGGAAGATTACGATTTTGAGGACTTATCATCCTATCGAAGAGGATTGATAAGTTGATTTATCTGAGGTGTTATTGTTAACGTGACAAATTAGGAGTGATGCAAACTGAATTCATACTCCATAGATATGATGATCGTCAGAAGTGTAATGTTAACTCGATGATGTGAAAGATTCGTTACTCTTAATCCAGTGGATTTCAGGTAACCAACCCCCAGTCTTGATTAAGACTTAGCAGGGGAATAATTTTATAGTTGACAGAGGTGTTTTGTTGAACATACAACTTAGAAGATTGGTTACTCTTAATCCAATGGATTCCAAGTAATCAACTCTCAGTCTTGATTAAGACTTAGCAGGGGAATAATTTTACAGTTGACAGAGGTGTTTTGTTGAAAATGACAACTTAGAAGATTTATTACATATAATCCAATAAACCAACCCCCAGTCTTGAACAAGTGCAGAGGAAAAAAAGGGGTAGACAGAGCACATTGCCTAGTGGGTCACTATCTGACGAGTTTGACTATCAGAGGTAACTGTTAACGTGATATTTTTAGCAGACCCGCCATCCTATTGAAGATGATTGGTTTTAGTGA